GATCTGCAACACCGGTTAGCATGTCCACAGGATTAATCTGAGCTAGTGGAGAGCTCAAAAGCAGATGAGGTTACTGAAGACCTGAAGGGAAATGACCTACTCAGGGTCTCACAGGGGAGCAAATGTCAGTGAAGACTTGCAGCCAGTTCTCTGGCTCTGTCCTTTCCATTGGGTGGTGCTTTTCTTCAGGTGACACTTGTTCTGTTTGTGTCCATCTTCCAGTGCCTAAAGCAAAGTGCACCTTTTGTCACTGGCTACTTTGTCCCAAGAAGAATTCTGTGACAAAAGGCCAAAGGAGATGGGTGCCCTAGAGGCCCAGCTGGCTGGCTTGAGGCAGGAACTGGTGGCCTTGAGCCAGAGCCAAGCTGCAGTGGCCTAAGGAATATACCTTTGGTGAGAAAACTTGGTGGCTCTGTGCAGTGACATGAGTCCTCCAGTCCCCTGGTTAAGCCATGCATACCCCTCCATCTCAGCTGAGCTGACGCTTCCTGGACATCTGCCCAGGGAACTGCAACCACCTAATGTTTCCACTGGGTGCTTCCCAAAGATTGAGCCTATTGGGTGGACTTTGGGACAAGGTCGGGACCTTCCTCAGCTGTCAAGTGGAATAAGAAGAGTCCCCAGAGGGCCCAACGAAATCCTGTTTGCAGACCTCAAAAGCAGTGAAGAAATGCCAGTCACTTGGTTCATAATCATCTCTCTCTGGCGCCAGGCAGGCATGTGTTGGCCCTGAGCTCTCAGAGTGTCTCTAGACACCCCAGGTCTCCTGTCCAGGCCCTATTCCTTCCTCATCCCTACTGTTTCTGCAGTCTTTGCTGACTTCTTTCCTCTGGTGGCTTCTAGATGGGGTCTCAGGTCCCAGCCTTGATCCAGCACTACCTTCTTGGAGACCAGGGCACTCAGGATGGGCTTGTACAGCTACAAAAGGTGCAGGCCCAGCTTTGGGACCTGGCGCAAAGAATCCTGAGTCATATGGCAGAGGAGCAAGGAGAAGTCTGCCAGCAAAGTTGCTGCCGACTTGAGGCTAGAAGGTGGGGGATAAAGGAAAACAAACTCATGGTGGCTTTTGTTTGGTCCCCTTTCCCCTCCTCAAAGTATCCTGCAGCTTCTGTCTCCTCTACCCCCTACTCGTCCTCCCCCTGTTGCCTGCCCCTCCTTTGCCTCCCTGGATTGATTTGGATTCATGTCCTAACAGCATGATGTTTCCTGCACCCCTCTCCCATCCAGCCATCTGTCCCTTTGCTTTTCCTTCTGTGCAGGGGCTCAATGAAGACTCCCAGGTGGAAGAGGTGGCCCTCAGGCAGTTCACCTATGATCATGCTGGGGAAGCCATTCAGACCTTCCACTTTCAGGTATGGAAGGGTGGTCCCACATCAGTCACCCAGTGATCCAGGCATGCTGGTGGTCTCAAGGGCTGGATCAACAGACATGGGGAGGCTGTGGCTTGGCAAGTGGCTGCAGTGGAAACCAGGTCCCAGTGGGTCTGACAGGAAGCTGAGGGATCAGCTTGGGGCTTAATTCAGCCACTTCTTTTTGAAGGAAGCCTGGGGCAGAAGGGCTGTGGGGGCCTTGCATACACCAAGGGGATATCGAGCCTTTCTGACCCCCCTCTCTTCCCACAGGGCAGTGGCAAAGCCCCATACCACCTGGTACAGCTTTGAGCCTTGAGCAACTCGAGTCACCCTAAGTATATCTGCCTTTACCACTTTCGGGTGGGTGGAAAGCTTGCCAATTAGCTCCTCCCTTCCCAGTCCCTTCACCCCTTCCTCCTTCAGCCACCAGCAAGCAGCTCCCCCACCTCCTCCTCCCTCCCCCAGGCTTAATCCCTTTTGGGCACTATGACTTCTGGGAGACAGAAAGAAGGTGGGAGCCCACCTCTGTGGAGCCATCTTGCCCCACCAAGCCCTCTGTGATATGGAGGAGACCACCAGCTGAGCAATTTCTGTTTCAATCCCCATCATCTGCAGGGTCAGGTGGCCCAGCTTTCTGCCAGGCCCTGCCCACCTCCAAGAGGTATTGAAATAATTATGTACTATATGTTGAGGATGTGGTAGGGCCTTGCTATGCTCAGCAGCAGTCCCACAGAAACACAGTTTAAACCACCTTGGCTCTAGGACAAGGAATTTGGTGTAGTAAGGGCATGACAAATTGGGCAGCAGCAAAGGGCAGACTGGTAGCCAGTCTGACATGGGCATGCTCCTGTAGGTGGCTCATGACTCTCTCCATGGGACCTTGCATGGTTCTCTTCACCACTGGCCATGATGGAACAGTCTTTGAAATCAGAATTACCTGGGAATAACAACAAATGTCTGGGCTTTTGATTCTGACAAGGCCAACAGCCTGGATTTGAAGGAAATTCTGCCCCCAGGATCACCTGGAATGGCATTTGAAACTGTATGGCAGCTGGGGGTAGAGCCATGGCTTAGTGGTCCCTTCTACCCACTGGGACTTCATTTACAGAGGACTGGAAGGTTTCAGGTGTGTGGAAAAAGCAGTATTATTAGATAGAGAATTACTCATGCATCAGATAATCCTGGAAGGGAGGGGGGCTTAAGAGTGCTGGCAGGAGTCATAGGGAGAGGGCCTTCCCTTATGCTGCTGGTACCAGGTTTCTCCTGCCTGCCCCTCAAGGGTACAGAGACCCTACTTCACCATTCTAGCCATGGCTTCATCCACCTCCTTACCTGGAGCTCAGTCAGTGTACTCTCTCCTTTGGAACCATCAGCTCATGTGGTTGTGGCTATGGTGGTCAAGAGACTGGCCTGGATCCTGTTAAGATTGGCTCTTCCCTGTTCCTCTCTAGGGCTGGTGTTGAGCTGATGCTGCCCTCTATCCTTGGGGCAGATGCGACATGACTCAGGTGCCTCTGCAGGGAAACAGGGCATTGGAGGCTCATTAGGCTCTTACTCTGAGCTTTGATTCTAGTTCTTTTTGGGCCAGGTTAACACATGGGACGGTGTTAAGTTTATTGGGATAGGGTGAGGGGGTGGCTTTTTGGTATTAAGGCTGGGATGAGTGAGGGAGGGTAAATTTTTGGGCCTCCTGGCCAATTCTATTACGTGTATAAAGTTGTTTGTACATATGCATAGAACTATTTCATGATTCCTTTGCATCAGATAAAAACGTTATTCATTCCTAGGTGCCTCCCAAGGTCCCAGGTGTGATAGTCACTGCAGCCCAAGGTTGGGGGTGGGGGCTGACCATGAAACACTGATGGCAATAATGGTATCACTGTCCTTTCTGACTCTCACCATCAGGAGGGAAGGCAGCGATTGACACCACAGGGCTGGCCACTGGTTCCAGAAGCCAGCAGAGGGGGGCCTGCTCTTCTGCAGGTTTCAGGGGCCAGCAGCAGCATGTGCAGGCCTGACCCCAGCTGCCCCTCAGGCTCAGTCTGCTCCCTCTGCTTTTGTCAACTCCCCAAAAAGCTATGATCTGAGCAGCCCCACATAAGATCCTACAGATGTCTTAGCTCTTTCTCATTTCAAAGACTACTGTTTAATCCTCTTGTTTTATTTCTTTATTGACATATTCTAACTTATGTCTATGCAAAAATAAATATTCTCTTGGAAAAAAGTCCCGTGGCAGCCCAGAACCAGTGGTGTTGGGGGAAAGAGGCCAAACTTCAAATACGAATCTAAAATACCAGTAAACATCACCTTTTATTGTGAACCCCCCAAAAATAATCCCCAATTTTGAACAGAGTCAGCTTGAGAAAGAGACAAATGAAATTAGGGCACACTTTGTTTACATGTAAATTTCTCCTATGCTGGCTTGATATGGATTACATGTAAGTTCAGTCCAAAACTGGCAACCACCAGGGAGGCCAATTTAAAACTGGCTCAAATTGGATTTTTGGGGTACAGCCTCATATTCCCCTCAAAGCATAGGTGTTCCCAAAGGATGTCAATCAACTCTGGGAGGTGGCCCATATTAAAATGAGGGTCTTTTAGGGAGTGACCCCTGTTACAGGATCCTGGTCAAAGAGACATCAATTTCTCTATCACCTCTCTTGATAATAGAGAGGAATCAACATTCTCCCAGACCTGTCCAGGCAATTTAATGAGCAGGAACAGACCCATTACATTACATCTTAATTTCCTTACAAAGAAGGAATGAATTTAGTAATGAAGTGGGATAGGGAAGCTCTGAGTTTTCAAGATAATGATTGCTAAGAAAAATCATTTTTGACATCAGTAAGCCTGTGGTTCCCTATTGCCTCCAGGATCTAATACAGAATTTTCTGCTTGTCATTCAAAGCCTTTCGTAACTTAGCCCTCTTCTTCCTTTCCAGTCTCCTCACACTTCACTCCCCACCTCATCTTCTTTTGTCCAGTGACGTCCTGGCTGTTCTTTGCACATGACCCTGCGTCTTCCAACTCAGGGACTTTTCTCTGGATTTCCACCATGCCCGGAATGTTCTTACTCATCTCTGCTGCCCTGGCTGTCAATTTTGGACTGAACTTTCATGCAATGCATGTCAAGCCAGCTTGAGAAAACTTAAACTGTATCTCCTTCTTAGAGCTAAATCTGTTCAACATTTGTGTTTGTGTTTGGGGTGTTCACAATAAATAGCGCCGTTTACTCGAATTTGAATTGGGATTTCAAGTAGTTACTTAATAAATGCCTGATGATTGATGAAGCATGTGACATGTTATATTACTGAAATGCCTCATGTGCTACATAGGGTCCCCACAAAGAGTGACAGCTAGTCCATGCACATAAACAAACATTTATGACTTTACCGTTGGGCCCATGCTTGTCACCTGAGGCTCTGATAAAAGCAAGAGGAATTGTCTCCCTCAAGGCGTTGTCAGGGCTACAACCTTCTCTAGGCTTGAATCTTCTATAAATGTCTCCCGCTCTGGAATCTCCTAACCTCCAGTCTCTAGCCGTTGCAGTTTTCTGTAGCGGAGGTGAGGTCCCCGGGCAGGCTAAAAGGCCAAGAGAAAACCCCCTCTCGAATTCTCCCCACCGGCTTTTGAAGCTTGGTAGCAAAAATGAAAAAGATTTTCAGTTTACACAGCAAGCGAACAGTGAATCCACGTCGAACCTCCGTCCTCAGGTGGAAGAACAGCGGGGTCCAAGAATCCGATCCTAATTCAGGATACCTGATTAGGGCCAAGGACGTGGAGAAGATCCACAAAGCTGCCTCCACTGGGGATGTGACGAAGGTGCAGCAGCTGCTGCTGCTGGGGAACTCAGGCGTGAACGATCGAGATGAAATGAATCGGTAAGAGGGAGAGGGAAGGGGGGAGAGACGGGAAGCCCCGCCTCCAGCAGCCTAAGACACCCCCCACGCCTCCCTCCTCTTGGTATGTGTCTCTTCACTCACCCTTGGAAAAGCTGTTGCTGTCAGCACCTGGGACAGGACAGCGCCTCCCTTCAGGGTCAGAGTGAGGCTTAGCCTCCTGGCATTGGATAGTAAGTTCGGAAAGCTCGCGTCACCTCACCTGTCCAATTTTAACGAACGGGAAACTTCTTCATTTTACTTTGAGCCAGGGTCCAACCAACTTATTTCTCAGTGGAGACTTGGGCAAATACTACTCCCTTCTAGTGAAATGTTGTTTTGAGTCGTTTCAATTATGTCTGACTACCCATGACTGTTTGGGATTTTCTTGCAAAGATACTAGGAATGTTTGCCGTTTCCTTCTCGGCTCCTTTCATAGATGGGGAAACTGGGGCAAACAGGGTTAAGTGACGTGCCCAGGGTCACATGGGTATCTGACGCCAGTCGTGAACTCAGGAAGACAAGTCTTCCTGACTCCACGCCCAGCACTCCTACCCATTCTAGCTGCCTGCCCCATGTGATGTGTGAAGTGAAAAAATGCCAAGGCAGAAAATTAATTTCTGCTCTTATAAAGAATCTGCTATATGTATCAGGCACCCAACTAACTGCAATAGATAGAAATTGGGGAGCAGGGATTCTCTGCATTCTAGAGGTAATCAGCAAGGGAGACTGAGGAGAGGATGGGATACTTAGGGAGAACCAAAGAGTAGTGTTACAAAACCTAGAGAGAAGAGAATATGAGGAAAGAGAGGTCTAGTTTGAAAGCTTCAGAGAGGAGAAGGATGAGAATTGAGAAAAGACCATTAGATTGGCAATTAAGAGAACATTAGTAGAAGAGTTTGGAAGCCAGACTGTAGATGTTAAAAGAAAATGACAGGAGAAGTGGAGACAGCTGTTGTCAAAGGGCTTCTCCTCACATCTAACACAAAGGACAAGAGAGACGTAGGATGAGAGTGGGGACAGATTGATCAAGTGATGATTTCTTAAGAATGAGGGAGGGGACATGGGCATGTATGTAGGCTATCAGGGAAGTAACTAGTAGGCAGGGAAAGACTGAAGATAAATGAGAATAGGAATGACAGAGGGGGCAACCCATTAGAGGAGATAAGATACAATGTATCACTTGTACATGTAGAAGCATTCTCAGTGGCAAGGAGAAGGGCCACCTCTTCCTATGAGGTGGCTGAAGAAAGAGATAGTGACAGAAGGCATTTGTATGTTAGATGAAAGAAAGGGGGAACAAGGGAGGTCTCAGGTAATGGTCTCACTTTTTTCAGTAAAATATGAGGCAAGATTTTTAACTGAGAAGGTACATAGTGAACCAAGGGAGGTTTGAGGAGGGATGAAAAGGTTGCAAGAGCTGCTGTGGTGAGTGGCATAGTGAATTTACTATGGAGATAGAATAAATGATTGCCTTGCAGCAGTGAGACCCGGTTGATTATGTAACATAATTTGTAGTGGATCTAGTAAACACAGGTGCATGATTTTCTCAGCTTTATTGAGTAGCAAGTGTATAGGAACAAAGACAGTAAGGCAGGAGTGATTCAAGGCTGAGGCTTGGCAGAACACAACTGGTGAGATGATAAGGGGGCAACATACCAGGCTCTTACTTGAAAACCTTGCCAGCATGGTAGAATTACCAAAACTTGTACCCTGCTGGGATAGCCTTTAGCAGCACAGATCCACTTCCAGTGTCCAATGCTACATGGCAGTAAGATTTTAGTGGAGAATGCACACACGTGCACATGTGCTTGTGCAAATGCACGATATGCAAATATGTAAATGTTTTTCTGAGGCAGCTACTTTACTAAATGTTTTGTAATTATGGATACTCTTAGTGGAAAGAAGTTGTTATTAGGCTTAACAGCCAAGCAGGGGGATGTACGTCTGTAATCCCAGCTACCAGTAAGGCTGAGGCTGGCAGATCTCTTGAACTCATGAGTTCTGAGCTGGTGGGCTATGCCAGTAAGGTGTCTGCACTGAGGCTGGCATCAGTATGGTGAGTCCCAAAGTATGAGGGGCCATCAAATTGCCTAAAGAGAAGTGAACCAGCTGAGGTTAGAAACTGAGCAGAGTTCCCATGTCAATCTGTAGTGAAATTTTAATCTGTTTTTTTTTTTTTGTTTGTTTTGTTTTTACCCTTGGCAATTTTGTCCATCATATCGAGCAAAAAGAGCTAATGCATATTTTATATTTCTTTGGGTGACAGTAGTATCCATTTATATTTTTTGGCAGTGATTTAGAGTTTAGGCATAAGAATAATAATGCATTTTAGGTTAGAAATCACACTAACTAATAAGTCTAAAATTTTGATTGTTGTAGTATGTTATCAAGCAGTCACATAGCTCTCTCATTTCCATAGGACACCTCTACACCTGGCCTGTGCTAATGGATATCCAGATGTTGTGTCTCTCTTAGTAGAGAGAAACTGCGATCTAAACCTGCTGGACAATGATAGTCTAACACCTTTAATTAAGGTATGTACTAGTTAATCACACTGGTCAATGAAATCCATTTTGATTTCTCTCTGATCAAGAAAATATGATTTACTAATTTATTTAAATATCATTAATGATGTTTAAGTATATTAAATTTTATCTTAGAGTATTTATTCTCTTTCTCTGTACTATATTGACAGGCAGTACAGGGTCAACATGAGGAGTGTGCTACTATCCTGCTCCAACGTGGTGCAGACCTTAATGTTGTGGACACCATCAACAACACTGCACTTCATTATGCTGCCTTTGGACAGAACACAGCTATAGCAGCAAAGCTGCTGAAACATAACATGGACATTGAAGCAAAAAACATGGTAGAAGCCCACCTTTTGTATAATAAACTATTTTATGAGTTAAAATGTGTAATCAGTGTTCAATTCACATATTTTATAATTCATATATTCATGGAAGCATTTCTTCAATGAAAATAACTTATAATTCTGTAGTCAAAGTTCATTGGCCTTTGGAATTTTCTAATAGTGTGGAGGTGGAGGAGGGGTGGGTGAACAAGGGAGGAGATTTTATTCACCTCCTAATGAGGAAACTCCCTCTACTGGTTTAGACTAGGGCCTGCTCTATGATTTAATCTTAGACTAGGGATTGTTAACATGGGATACATTAACTTTAAAAAGCAACAATGGCTTTATAGTTGTTTCAATGTAATTGGCATCCTTTGCATTCTATATATTTTAGGCATTTAAAAACGTTATTTTGGAAAGGAATCCATCATACAAAAAAACTTAAGAAACCCTGTCTTTAGGGAGTGTCCTGGAGTACTGAAACTTCTCAGGGTCCCAGCTAGTATATGTGGGTTAGCAGCAGGCCTTGAATCTAGGTCTTACTGACTTTGAGGCTAACTCTCTACCCATTCCATCGCAGCTGTCTCTCCAGAATTTTGGTTGCATGATACATTAGGTCTGCTCCCCAGAATGTGATAGTTCCACCAAATATTTCCTTACAATGCTTTTTCTACAAATAGATCTTTATATAACATAATGTTAATTTGTCATTTAGAAGTGCCAAATTTTTTTTCATCTTTTTGAAATTTGTTCCTACTAAGTATAAAAATACACAGACACAGAATTTTGTAACAATAAATTCTTAAGTGTATGTTTTTTGGTATTTCCTAAAGACTGTACCCTTTCCTTTCTAGAGTTACTGAACAACTCCTGATTTTTAAGAAAAGGTTTAACTCTTAGTCACTGTCACTTGAGAGAGAAAAAAAAACATAAAGCATACTTTAGGAGGGCAGAGAAGAGAGGGAATATGCCAATGAGAATGAGTTCCTTCTATGTTTAACCACTTTGAGGCAAGATTTTTTTCAGTTTTGAGGTTGGTTGTACACACTCGAGGGCAGTAGGTAAAGACAACTAGGCAAATGTAAAATTGACCATAGTATAGCTTTAGCTTGGCAGAGTACTGAGGAAATAAGGTTGGCTGCATGCAGACAATAAGTATTATGACACGAAGACAGCAATAAAGGAACATACTCCTGAAATAATATGAAACAGTCTCCTATAAATCCTAGGTTTCTATGTACTGATCACAAATTTATAGCTGGAAGGAATCCCAGAGGCTCTCTAGTTTCATTCTGTCATTTTACTTATGAGGAAACTAAGTCCCAGAGAAGTGAAATAATGTGCTTATCATCACCCAGGAATTAACTAACAGAAGCAGGATTGGTCTTCTCGCTCCAAAATTCCATTGTATCATACCTCCTTCACAAATTGTTAGCAAGTTCACAGGATGTTCACAAAATGCCTTAACCTGAATTGATGTATACATATAGAATTCTTACATGCTGTAACAATATCTTTAATATGATTTTGCAGGAAGGCTTTACACCACTTGTGGTTGCAATTACAGAAAGTAATCTAGATATGGTAGATTTTTTCTTAAAGAATGGAGCAAATGTGAATGCCTCGGATAACTCTAAAAGGTACAGTAATTAATGCTTGAAATAAAAAAAAAGGTTCTAGAGTAATAAGAACAACTTAAACCATAGAACACATGGAACAACAATAATTGAAACTGATTATCATTGTGAAAGGGTGAAAAATGTCCGAAAACATCCAGTATGAAAAAAACTTATTTATGACTGCAACAGAGAAAGCAGTTCATGTGGGCCTGCCAACCACTGTTTATTGGTGATTACTATTTGCAGTTTTATTTATTTGATTTTATTGTTAGTTAAGATTATCCCAAAGAAATTTTGTACTCTGGTGTTTCAGGTGATTCTCTTTATGAAATATCTCATGTCACCATGAGAATTGTAGTGTATTTTCTCCTCTTCCTTCTTTTGATTTTCCTTAAGAATATGCACATTGAGAAATACAAACGAATACGAGAATAATATGATGAAATACTTTGATGAACCTATGATCTTATCATTGTGGAAACTTGTGCCACTGGTTCATATTTTAACCTTTCCATGCCTTCTTATCCTACATGATTTTCATCATTGTCATTCCATAAATTCACCATAGAGGATCCAGGAAACACACTGAAGCTTTCTCCTGGTTCTTTTAATATATGAGGAACAGTGCAGTGAAAATTCTTTCTGGCTTTTATTTTTAATATAAGATTAGGCCATCCACTTTTTTTTCTGTTTATCAGTGTCTTTGAGAATGTCTCTAATACCACTTACTACATCAAAGTCATTACTGCCTGAAACAACTTATACTCACTGTGCATATTTCCATGGCCTTTGAATTTTGATTCTTCTGAGATATTTTTGGTTTTTGAATTTTTTAAAAATCACTGTGGCCACAAAGCATTCTTGAGAGAATATTGGTGTTTATACAATGAATTTTGTGCAATGGGTCATGAAGTGCTGTATGTAGTTTCTCAAATGAGATCCAGTTGGATCTCCTTTTCCCAATAATTATGAGCCCCTGCACTGCTGTTCTTCAATACCCATCAGCAGTGTGCATGTATGCCTTCACATATAAACACCTCTACAAAGATATAGATTGACCACGTAGATGGGGCTGTCCTTTCAACTCTATCAAATCTAGGAAATACTTTTCATTCTTTTTCAGGGTGGATTCTTAGACCAATGCATTTTGACTAAGTTTGGATTTCATCAAGGACTTTTTGTTCAGGGCTTGATACAATTAGCACAATGTCATCCACAAATAGGAGCATTTGTAAATCTTTGCCATCATATACATCTCTGTTCTATTTGGACCCTGTGCAGGACATCCTATGTAGCATTGGGAAACACCTTAAGTGAGCATATGTCTCACATTTACATCTAGCTTAATGCTGATACTTACTCATTGAACAAAGTTATCCTTTGGGTGGCATGGGTCATTGAGTCTGTGTGATTTTAACATTAGCATGTGAGAAACTTGTTTGCTATCACCAAAATTAAAAAAAAAAACAGGACCTGACATTATCCTAACAGAAATAGGACTGATTACAATGTTGGAATAATTTAGAATTAGCTGTCTATGTTCATTCATCATGACTGTCCAGAATAAAGGTCAAAATTAATATAAATGAGAAAAAAGGATAAAGATGAAAAGCAGACAGTAGTCATCATGTTTCCTCTTGTGATTAACACTATCAACTCCCCCAAATGAGAAATGGACATATGCTATTATCCAGTTAACAAGCATGTGTTAAGCACTATCTATGCTAAGCACTATGCTAGGCAGTGGACATATGTAATTTCTCAAAAGTTAGTACAAAAGGAGCCTCAAAGAGAAGGCCAAAAGAGCCCAGAAATGGCATCAGCTGGGAAACATTATCTCTGCCAAAAAGAGAGCTATTATGGCTAAGATGAACTCAAGCTTACACTAAAACATAATTTGTAAAAATAAAATAAAATAAAGAGGAAGAGGATAGAAGATGAAGACCAGCATTGCTTTCCAAAATAATAAAAAGCAGCTGAAGAGAAGATAAACCTGTAGGTTGTTTGACATGAAGCCTAACCAGATCATCCTGAGAGCATTTGTTCATTATGGAATTTGAAGAGTGACAATGAATAGATATGAAATAGAACAGAACTACCATTATTTCTATTTTCATTAACACCAACATGGACATTTGGGAAAGATTACTTCCTGAAATAAAATATATGAATATTGAAAAGAAATAGATCAGATTTTTAGATTTTTCATTGAGCAGATATTTCAAAAGATATGTGTGGTATCTTTTTGACCTTCACTTCTGAATGTTAATTTTTTTAATTAGTATTTCCCCCCACTTACATGTCAAGACAATTGCTAGCATTTTATTTTTACGAGATTTTGAATTCCAAATTTTTTTCCCTCCCTTGCTCCCCTCTCCTCTTCTGCAACTGGCAGCAGTTTGATATGGATCATATGTGCTATCATGTAAAAATGTTTCCATATTAGTCATAGTTTGAAAGAAGGAAACAGATCAAAAAGATAAAAACTCGAAAAAGAATAAAGTAAATGAGAAACTATGTTTCCATCTGCATCCAGAGTCCATCAGTTCTTTACCTGGATGTGAATAGTTTTTTCCTTCGTGAGCTCTTCTGATCTGACTTATTTCAGATCATTGTGTTGCTGAGACAAGCTGAGTCATTCATAGTTGATCATCACATAGTGTTCCTGCTAACTGTGTACAATGTTTTCCTGGTTCTATTCATTTCACTTAGATCAGTGCATAGAGTCTTTCACGTTTTTCTGAAATCTACCTGCTCACAATAGTATTCCATTACATTCATACAGCAGCTTATTCAGCTATTTACCAATTGATGGGCATCCCCTCAATTCCAAATATTTTGCCACCATTAATAGGGTTGTTTAAAATTTTTTGCACATGTAGGTCCTTTCTCTTTTTTTTATAATCTCTTTGGGATACAGAACTAATAGTGGTATTACTGGATCAAAGAGTGTACACAGATTGGTTGCCCTTTGGGCATAGTTCCTAATTGCTTTCCAGAATGGTTTTATCAGTTCACAACTCTACCAACAGTGTGTCACTGTCCCCAATTCTCCACATCCTCTCAAACATTTATCATTTTCATTTTTTGTCATATTAGCCAATCTGATAATTGTGAGGTGGCACCTCAGAGTTGTTTTAATTTGCATTTCTCTAATCCAAAGTGATTTAGAGCACTTCTTCATATGCCTATGGATCGCTTTGATTTCTTCATCTAAAAACTGCCTCTTCTATCATTTGACTGTTTATTATGGGAATGATTTATATTCTTACAAATTGACTTAGTTCTGTATATATTTGAGAAATGAGAACTTTTTCAGAGACACTTGCTATAAAGATTGTTTCCCAGCTTTCTGCTTTCCTTCTACTCTTGGTTTTATTTGTACAAAAGCTTTTTATTTGAATATAATCAAAGTAGTCTATCTTATATTTCATAATGCTCTCTATCTCTTATTTGGTCATGAATTCTTCCCTTACCCATAGATCTGACAGGATTCCTTGATTCCTTGCTCTTCTAATTTGCTTGTGGTGTCATCCTTTATGTCTAAATCATGCACCCATTTTGACCTTATCTTGGGATACAATGTGAGATATTGGTTTATTTCCTATTGTTTTTGAGTTTTCTGAGCAGTTTTTGTGAAAAAGTGAACTCTTTTGCCAAAAGCTGGGGTCTTTGGGTTTATCAAACACTAGATTCCTGTGGTCATTGACTATTGTGTCTTTTGTACCTAATCTATTCCACTGATCCACCACTGTATTTCTTAGATACCAGATTAGTTTTGATGATTACTGCTTTATATCTGGTATTGCTAGGCTACCTTTCTTTGTACTTTTTTTTCCATTAATTCCCTTCATATTTTGACCTTTTTTCTTCCAGATGAATTTTTGGTGATTTTTTTTTTTAGTTCTGTCAAATAATTTTTTTGGCAGTTCTATTAGCACTGAATAAGTAAATTGGTTTTAGGCAGACTTGTGATTTTTTATTATGTTGGCTTTGCCTACCCATGAGCAATTGATATTTTTCCCATTGTTTAGATTTGACTTCATTTGTATGAAAAGTGTTTTGTGATTGTGTTCATACAGTTCCTGGGTTTGTCTTGGTAGGTAGACTCCCAAGTATTTTGTATTGTTTACAGTTATTTTGAATGGAATTTCTCTTTCTATTTCTTGCTGCTGAGCTTTGTTGGTCATAAAAAGAATTCCTGATGATTTATGTGGGTTTATCTTATATCCTGCAATTTTGCTGAAGTTAATTATTTCATGTAGTTTTTTAGTTGATTTTCTAGGATTCTCTAAGTATACTATCATATCAGTTGCAAAGAGTGATAAATTTGTTTCCCTACTGCCTATTCTATTTCCTTCAATTTCTTTTTCTTCTCTTATTGCTATAGCCAGCAATTCTAGTACACTATTGAACAATAGTGGTGATAATGGGCATTCTTCCTTCACCCTGATCTTATTGGCAGGTATTCTAGCTTATCTCTGTTACAGATAATGCTTGTTGAAGGTTTTGGATAGATACTGCTTATCATTTTAAGGAATGCTCCCTATACTCCTATGCTCTCCATTGTTTTTAATAGGAATCTGAACTGTAATTTGTCAAAAGCTTTTTCAGCTTCTATTTAGATAGTCATATGGTATCTGTTCGTTTTTTATTGATATGGTCAGTTGTGCTTATAGTTTTCCTAATATTGCACCAACCCTGCATTCCTGGTACAATTGCAGCCTGGTCATGTATATAATCCTTGTGCCAAGTTGTCGCAATTGCCTTCCTAGTATTTTGCTCAAAATGTTTGCATTGATATTCATTAGGGAAATTGATCTATAATTTTCTTTTTCTGTTTTAGCTCTTCATGGTTTAGGTATCTGTACCAAATTTTTTTGTCACAAAAGGAGTTTATTATGACTCCTTCACCTATTTTTCCATATATTTTATATATAGTAATTCATTGTTCTCTGAGTGTTTGATTGACTTCACTTGTGAAACAATCTGGCCCTTGGGGATTTTTTCATAGTGAATTCATTAATGGCTAGTTCAGTATCTTTTTCTAAGATGGGTTTATTTAGGCATTCTGTTTCCTGATCTATTAATCTGGGTAATTTATATTTTCAAAAATATTCATTGATTTAGCTCAGATTGTCAGATTTATTGACATATAATTGAGCAAACTATTTTCTAGTGATTGCTTTAATTTCTTCTTCCTTGATGATGATTTCACTCTTTTCATTTTTGATACTGGTAGTTTGGTTTTCTTCTTTCTTTTTTTTTAATCAAATTAATCAATAGCTTATCTGTCTTTTTTTTTCATAAAGCCTGCTTCTAGATATATTTGTTAGCTCAGTAGTTTTTTGTTTTTGTTTTTTGCTTTTAATCTTATTAACCTCACCTTTGATTTTCAGAATTTGGTATTTGGTGTTCAATTGGGGATTATTTATTCATTTTTTTCTAGTTTCCTTTTCTTTTGTTTGTTTATTTTAATTGGGAAACCAATTAATTGATCTCATCTTTTTTGTATTTTGTTGAAGTAAAAATTTGGAGAAGGAGAAATAATTTTTCCCCTAAGTACTGCTCTGGCTGTATCGCATCAATTTCAGTATGGTGTCTCAGTGTTGTCATTTTCTTTAATGAAATTACTGATTGTTTCTATGATTTATTCTTTGACCTACTTATTGTTTAGGATTAGATTATTTAGTTTCCAATTAACATGTAATGTTGTCTTTCTAGCACCCTTTGGTGAATGTGGTTTTTATTGCATTATAATCTGAAAAGAATACGTGTGATATTTCTGCCTTTCTACTTTTGATTTTAAAGTTTTTATACCATAATGCATGGTCAGTTTCTTGTTTAGGTAACATATGCTGTTAAGAAAAAGGTATATTCCTTTCTCTTCCCATTCCGTTTTCTCCAGAGCTCTGTCATGTCTTAATTATTCTAATAATCTGTTTACCTCCTTAGTTTCTTTCGTGTTTATTTTTTGGTTGCATTTCTTGAGTTCTAAGAGGAGGCGGTGGAGGTCTGCCACTAGTATAACTTTGCTGTCTATCTCTTTCTCTAAGTCACTTAACTTCTCCTTTAAGAATTTGGATGCTATACCACTTGGTACATATATGTTTAGAATTGATATTGCTTCATAGCCCATGGTATCTTTCAGCAAGATATAGTTTCTTTCCTTATCTCTTGTAATTAGATCTATTTTTGCTTTTAATATTTCTGAGATCAGGATGGCTACCCCTGCTTTTACACTTGAGCTGAAGCATAATCTATTATGCTCCAACCTCATACCTTTACTCAGTGTGTATTTCTGTTTCAAATGTGTTTCTTGTAAATGACATATTGTAGTATTCTGGTTTTTAATCCATTCTCCTACCTGCTTCCATGTTCATCCCACTTACATTCATGATTATGATTATTAACTGAGAATTTCCCTACATCCTATTTTTCTTCTTGTTTGTCCTCTCTCTCCTTTCACCCTTTACCTCTTCACCAGTGTTTTGCTTCTGTTCAACACCTCCCCTGATCTGCTCTCCCTTCTGTCAGTTCTCCCATACTCTCCTCCTACCTTAATTTCATATTCTCCCCTCCTATTTCCCTGTTGGGTAACATAGATTTCTATATTCAAATGATTGTCTATATTATTCCTTCTTTGTGCCAATATTGATGACAGTGAGGTTCAATCAACGGCCATCAGGCACCCTCGTATCTTCTCCAAATTTAATACATTCAATCTCTCCCTTCCTTCTGCACTTAGTATATTCCTCTTTGCCATAGCTTCATTATTTTTGTGTTATTCCCTCAAATTCACCTTGTATTCATAATTCTGTCTGTGTATGTTCCTTCTAGCTGTACTATTATTGATATGATTTTTAAGAATCAAAGTATTATCTTACCATGTAGGGATGTAAACAGTTTAGCTCTATTGATTCCCTTATGTTTTCTCTTTTTCCCTGTTTATGCTTCTCTTGGATCTTGATACTGGAGATCAAATTTTTGGTTTAATTCTGGTTTTCTCCTCATGAAAACTATGTAGGATCCCAGGAGAAAGTCCTTAACTGTTGCACACATATGGCTTTGACATACTGTCTACTTGCCTATTATAAAGTCTTAAATTTGACAATCCCTGTAAAAACTCTAAGGGGACCAAAAAAATTCTTTCTTTCTTTTCTTCTGCTTTTAATTGCCATTTTTGCTGCTTCACATAAGCAATAAAAGTACTCATATCCCTTACTAAGCATGCTCCACATGGATATTCTCTCTATTAAAACATATAAAAAATCTGATTAGATGTGACTTGTTTAAATTCTTAAGTTTAGATTGTTTCTTTCTTATTATAGGACAGCCATTATGCATGCTGCCAGTGGTGAACAAGTAGGCATAGTCAGTCTTCTTCTTCAATATGATGTTGATCTCCGTTGCCAAGATAAATTTCAATGGACAGCTTACCACTATGCCAAACTCGGTTGTCGCCCTATGTAAGTACTAACATCATAGTTCTAATTATCTTTATACAATTGCATTAAAAAGGATTTTTTTCCTCTGTATAGCTGAGACTGTCCGGAACTTTCATAGTTGCATAAAATAGCAAGCATCTGACAAGCATACTTCAAGTCACTAAGAAGAAACTGGGCAAATGGAAAAGTTAGGTTCTCCAAGTTTAGGAGGACATAAGCAAGAGACAGGATACAAAGTAGAGTCAGGTAATCTGAGATCAGAATTTTCAGAAATAATAATGATGAAAGCTGCCATTTTTATAATTCTTTAAGGTTTTCCAATGTTTTACATACATTTTATTATTTGATCTTCACAAAAGTTCTGTAATTTACTTATACTGCCTAATTTAGAGAGGTAATTTTTGTGTGTTTTTTAACCTTTGCTGACACTTCTCAGTTATACTAGACTTAAAATTAGTTTTAGGGAAAATCACAATATGTCTTAGATGCCTTCAAATGAGTGATAAACAAAAGAATAAATCATAAATATTAATAGTCAACATTAGAATTTATAGAGTGGCAGTTTGGTACAGGGGAAAGATTGCTCAATTTGGAGTCAGAGGACCTGGGGACAAATCATGCCTCTTACAATATGTGTAATGTTGAACAATGGTTACCTCCTCTGGGACTCTATAATACTGTGACTCTTAAGACAAGTGTATCACATCTAGATTGAATGATTGGTTATGCTCTACAGACTTTATCAAAACTATGTATATATATTTGGTGATAATCTGATTATGTAAGGTTTGGTGCATATAATTGTTATCTTTGTTGATGTAGACTTAATACATTTTATATTTTATTTTATACACAGTCATTGTGAACTAATTACTGAGTATGGAAAACAGAAGGGAATTTATAGGTCCCTTTCATCCCCTAATCAGCAGTTCAGAGAGTGCTTTTGATCCAGAATTTGCTTTGGGTGGAGCTGCCATGGATCAAATAGGTAAGACTGAAAAACCTGCAGAAATAGTGACTTTAGAAAATAATGAAAGAGCAGTCTTAAAATTCATATATACATTTTTCTGTTTCCATTTTATTCTTAAATGGGTAGGAACTTATTTATTTTTGATTAGTTATTTAATTATCCTTGTAGGTTCACTATCCTGAAGCCATTTACTAAAAACACAGCCACAAGATCTTTTGTGTTATTATTATCTGCTTTATCCAAAAATTTCTTTGTGTAGGCTTCAATAACAATTTTCAGGTTTCTAAATTATTCTACATATATTTAACCAACTTATATGAAAAGTCTTTAATACTTTCAAAATGTATTATATTTAGCAATATAATTTATTTCTGATTCTTAAATATGGGAAGAATAAATAATAAATATGGGACACCTATAACTGTACCATGTGCACCCATACTTACACATACACACGTGGACAGATGGACTGTATGAATATATAAAGATAGAACAGAAAAAGAGCAAGAGAGCAGAGCCCACATTCTTTTTCAGAACTCTGTAAATCACTTATCCAAGCTTTGGAAATATATACATTTTAAATCTTTTCAAAATTTTAAAAGGTTCATAAAGCTTTTGTTTTATTCTAAAGAAAATACAAAACCCACAGGACTTAGAGGGACCAGGTAACAGAGATTTGAAAGGAAATACATATAATTATAGATTTTTGGTCAGTATTTGCATGTGTTCCCACCTCCAACTTCTTGATTCAGGTAGCTAAACTTTAGACGGGAGAAGATTTTCTGACTTAGCTCCTAACATTTAATCCTACCAGCTGGGCCATTTGGAATCTTAATGATCTGGGCTTGTAATAATAAATTCATCTCACATTTATAAATCTTTTTTTTTTCAAATCAGTTGACCTATTACCTTGTGTGAAAGATAGTGTGGATATTCTGGTTACTCTCATTTGAATGGTGATGAAACTGAGGAGTAGAAAGCTTAGATGACATGCTCATGCTAACAGAGCTAAAAGGAAAGAGGTATCATACCCTCTTAACTACTGTACATTACATTATATATCAGAAAGAGATGACCCATGTAAGCCTTCCTTAGAAGAAATGAGAAATCACAGTGGCAGAAAAGACAGTATTTAATTTTAAGTATACATTACTACAGCCTAAAGAGGTTATATTCCAATAAAATACTTTAATTCCCTTTAGCTAGTCATGTGACAACTGAACCTCACTCTCCCTCATTTTCTTCATTTGTAAAGTAGCCTTATCTATAGTTACATACCTGAAATTGTTATGACAAACACTGAAGTGCGAAAAAGTGAGGTTCTATTTCTCAATAAGTAATAGTTTTACCATGTTAACTACATATAAAATTTTAAGCACATTTAAAAAAAAATCCCTAATCCAATTTTAATAAAAATAATTATGCTAAGTAACCTCATTGAAGATGTGGTATCTATGCAGTTAATCAAGAAAAAGTTATAGTCTAGAACACAATTAAATATAAGGATAATTGAAGAGTATGGCTTGTTATTGATAAAGCTATTCATAAATATGTTCAAGGAAGATATCAGAATGTAAACATTGACTTTATGAAATATACAGTAACCAATAATATTTTCTATGCAAGCCAAAATCATAATGTATGCATAAATGTATTAATGTTAGAATTGTAAAATGTTAAAAGAACTAGGGATAGGAATAAAGAGAAAAATTAACTATAATTATTTGCTTTTATAAAATATATCTGCTTTCCTTCAAATACTTATCTTTCACTATGAGACAGTTATTTGTTCCACCTCATTTTCTGTTCATCAAAAAAAAAAAGGAAAAATTCATCATTTGATAGGCAAGTGTAGCAGTAATGGCATCTCTTATCCCTTCATTAGACTCAAAATTGGTGATCTCTCAGTTCTTCTAAACTTTTGAGGAATCAGTGAGCTATTGCTATAAATCTCATATCTTCATTGTTTTGTAGTGAACCTTAGAGCAATAATAAAGTGACAACTGTTTCCTTTGACTTTTACTAATACTGAAACTTTTGCATATTTTTTTTAAACAAATCATATTGTCCAAGGGAACCAGGCATTTATATTAAGAATGAGTATGCTAGAGCCCTGGTCCTGGGGCCTAGTAGTCTTTTTCACTTTCCTGAAACCAACATTTGCTTTCTTGCCATTATTTATTTCATTCTTTTGTACATATTAATTGTGAATAACCCCAATTTTATTAAAAAAAACCCAGAATTCATGAGTTTTCTAGTACATTGACAAATGATGACATTCTGGGGTTGAGCACCACCCTAGTTATTTCTTCTGGTTACTTTGATATTTTAATTCAGGTTTATGGTAGAAAAGCCACAAGGTATCCAAAACATTGGATTCCAAAGTGGTTTTTTTCCCTGCTCTCTAAAAATTGATACTGTATTTGCTCTTTATGCAACCAAAATTTTAATTGTGCAATATCATCTTCCTATACAAATCAACATGGAAGATACTATAAACCACTGAATGATAAATGCCAACAAGTAAAAGATAACCAAAAGATATCCTTCTCAACAAAGACAAGGCTGTCGTGTAGATAGATAAGCCAGGAAGGATTTAGGACCCAGTGGTTTAGTACTGCTTCTGCCACTAACTACCTCCTTCATCCCTTTGAACCTCAGTTTCCTTTTGTTTCTATTTACAAATATGAAATGAAAGGTTTGAAATGCCCTCTGAAATTCTGTCTCTTCTAAAAGACCATGCTACTTCATTTTTTAATACCATTGATTTTAAGTATTTTATTAATCAGTCCATGAATAATATGGCAAGTTAGCTACAGTAGAATTCATCATCTGTTGTCTACCTCCCCTGACAAAATGTTTTATGCCAAATAAATGTGGTCTATAGCATAACAAACACATCCCCCTTTAAATGTACATTTTATCATTTCAAACACTTTTATGAGTTTTCCCCATAAGGGCATGCAAAACTTTATTCATAATTTGTAAATCACTTAGGTTATAAAAAGCACTTCAGTACATTGCAGACAAATTGTGAATGTCTAACCTACTTGAAGTAATAATCCATATAAGATAAGGAGACATACTGTAATTTTCAATACAGCAGAATCTAGCCTGACCTAGATGAAAAAAAAAATTCATTTTGCTTTCCTATTAGTTCATATATATATATATATATATATATATATATATACCCTTTTTCCTTCTTATTTTTATTAATTTTTAATTAATGTATTTTTAGTTTTCAACATTTACTTTCACAAGATTTTGAGTTCCGTATTTTCTCCCCATCTTGTCCCTCCCTCCACCCCAAGATGTCATGCATTCTGAATACTCCTAATATGCCCTCCCTTCTATCTCTCCCCCCCTTGTCTTAGCCCTTTCCCCTTCAATTTTCCTATACGGCAGGACAGATTTCTATACCCCATTTAATGTATATATTATGTCCCAGTTGCATGTGAAAACAATTTTTTTTCAAATTTTTGTTTTTAAAATTTTGGGTTCCAAATTTTCTCCCTTCCTCTCTCCCCACCCACCCTCATTGAGAAGGCAAGCAACTTGATAATAATTTATACATGTGTAGTCATGCAAAACACTTCCATAGTAGTCATATTGTGAAAAACTAAGTATATTTCCCTTCATCCTATCCCACCCCCCATTTATTCTATTTTCCTTTTTGACACTATCCCTCCTTAGAAGTGTTTGCTTCTGATTACCCCCTCCTTCATCTTCCCTTCTCTCTGCCATCCTCTGCTCTCTTGTCCCCTTCCCTCCCATTTTCTGTAGGGTAAGATAGATTTCTATTGTGTATATTGTTCTCTCCTCAAGCCAAATCCAATGAGTATCAGATTCGCTTATTCCCTCTCATCCCCCCCCCATTTCCCCTCCACTGTAAAATGCTTTTCTTATCTGTTTTATGAAAGATAATTTACCCTATTCTGCCTCTCCTTTTCTCCTTCTCCTAGTATAATCCTCTCTCACCCCTTAATTTTATGCTCCAGATATCACCCCTACATCTTCAACTCACTCTGTGTTCTCTATCTATCTATCT